CTAAATTCTCAGAATTGGTTTATTTTAAATACAGATTATTTACTGTGATAATCTTTTATCTGCAATTTTTATAGAAAAAGGAAATAGTTTCTCAGTATGGAAGTCATGCAGCACAGCAATTTACAGAACAGCAGTAATTTGCTAAATGATTTCCTAGTGAAATGGAAACATGACTATGCTTCCTCAAATGCTTCCCACCAGGCCTGCAATCATTTCAGGCAGGTGATCAGCTAGAGCCCCTCAACTATATCTATAAAAGGAAAGGCAGGCCATTATATTATATTATGGAAATGAGAGCTACATAGCATTACATTTTTGTATTGTGAGGGTCAGGATTCCCTCTTTGGTTTTTCTTTCTCTCTCTCTTTCTTTCTTTCTTTCTTTCTTTCTTTCTTTCTTTCTTTCTTTCTTTCTTTCTTTCTTTCTTTCTTTCTTTCTTTCCTTCTTTCCTTCCTTCCTTCCTTCCTTCCTTCCTTCCTTCCTTCCTTCCTTCCTTCCTTCCTTCCTTCCTTCTTTCTTTCTTTCTTTCTTTCTTTCCTTCTTTCTTTCTTTCTTTCTTTCTTTCTTTCTTTCTTTTTCTTTTTTTTTTTCTCCCCATCCTGACAATCACTTTGGGATTGGCACAAACCTAGCACTTGAGCTGTGGGTGATTTTCCCAGCAGAGGGGATGAATTCACAGTATTGCACCCACATTTTCTTTCTAAGTCATTTAGCCCCTCCATGTGACCATGAAACAGTGTAAAGCTAAATGACCTACCTAGAAATTGAAACTATAACCTTCATCAGTTTTGTCCTATGGTCCAATCATCTGAGCTAACCAGGCAAGTAACATTGGAATAAGAAACAGTTTGCTTCCAAAATTACACACTTGCCATAGGATGTCTGATTGCATTTGTTTTACACCAAAATGTTTGTGATATGTTAAGTTTAAAACTCAGTATTTCTAATTTATGTATTCTGTTATAAACATTATGTAAACACATAGACATATGCATATAATTCACAAATGAAAGAATTAAAGTTTTAGATAGATTTCCTCTATTCTCCCCAGATTATCTACAATGTTTTATATTCTATTATATCTATAATAATAAAAGCATAATATGCTAATTAGACCTGATGACCTTCGGATGAAGCCAGGGCTGCGAGGGAAGCCCAGTTCCCGGATGCCGAGTGCCGAAGGGAAGCTGGTGCCAGCACCTGGAGGAAGGAAGGCTGCTCTGTCATGAATTTTGTGCATCGGCCTCTAGTTTTAATAAAATTTAAATGGTACCAAAAACTGGTACATTTTTATAATAAAGCCCCTGAATGGTTTTTAAACATTCTAAAGGCAATACATTTTCAAATCTGAGTATATTGGAGATTAAGTAATTTGAAAAAGATGTCCTTTTTGCTTTCAGCTAGCAGCAGGTATAATATGAAGTCAGAGAAGTATTCCCAAACTGCTTTGTACTCTATGTAATATAAAACATAATTATAAGAAAATTTATTTAGATAACATTTTGTCATGAGGTACAAATTTGAATATTATAATATTTTATCCTCATCAATATTTTAAGATAGTCACCAATGGCAATACAAAGTGGCATGATGATAATTAAAACAAATGACAGCTAATACAATTATTCATGAAATAATTAATTGAAGTTGCGACATTTAATTAATTAAGTATAGGCATCTCAATTGTACTAGAAGTGAAGAAAGCTTTAAGAAAATCAAACTAGGTCCTAGTTATGGTAAAAAGTTCTCAAACCTTAAGGTAAGAAATCTGTACAATATTTACATTAAGAAAGATAAGGATTCACTAAAAATGAATCCTTTTTTGTTTGACTTTCCAGGTTTCTTACCCAAATATTCTAGATACTGACTTTACTTTGTTATTTGCCTTAGATTTGAAGCCTCTAGTTCTTTGGGGCAAGTACTATGAAATAACATAATCTAGAGAACATAGGAAGATGCCTGGCCAACAAAAGTACCCAGTAAACATTTGTTTAAATAAAAATAATGTGAATTTTTGATTAATTAAAGGAAATATGAACTAAAGAAAATCAAATAAGGAATTTTGTTGAACTCAGTTTTGAATTCTCTTTCCTGGTATCATCTCTACAGAGGAAAAAACAGGGATATGCATCTTAGGGTGGCTCCAAATCTCAGCCTCATGTCCTAGCCACATTTGAGTCATTCACACCGAAACTCAGGCATTTCCCAGGTAATTGTAACTGTGTTTATCTGTCCAGAGGTGGTTGGTGTCCAGGGAGGAGTATTCAGTAGACAGTATGGCACAACTTTTAGTCATTTCAGTTTCATCTTAAGCACATCCTTAAATCAGTTAAACACTTTAATTTTTTAACTATAGTGAATATCTGATATTCATTTCATTTGAATATTAATATGCCCTTTGAAAAATCAAGAACAAATGAAAACCGGGAATCCCTTTATGGAAACTCAACCAGTTTCTGTTGTTTTCCTGAAGCTATGAGAGATATGGAGCTGAAGTGACTCTCCCTTTGGTTGTACACATTTCTTTTTGTCCAGCATCATAGTTTACCCTCTAATGACATGTGTGAAGAAAAGGAAATGTTTTCTCTCACACTCACAGCAGCCTCCACTTGCACTGGGCTGACTGCTTCAGGAAGAACCCAGAGGCACACTCACTCAAATTCACAATCACTGGGCACTGACTCAGGAAGCACCGCTCGGCTGTCACAGTGCCCAGCCATGCATAGCTATATTGGACTGATTGTTTTGATAATTACCAAGAAATTTTTAAAACGATCATTTATATTGCTTAATTATGGACCTTGGGAAATCAAGTTTATATTTCTTATAGGTTAAGTTAATCCTGTTTATTTGATATAGTAAAAATTAACATAATTTTTTTGTTTTAAAAATTATCATTATTTCACACAAACATAATGTCCTTCATATTTCTGATCCAGAAATCACTTTTATCATTTAATATGCTTTGAACATCTTTTTTATGTCAGTATGCATTTCATTCTCTTAACATCTTCTCTTAATATACTCCTTTATTGTTTATATATATATTAATTTATTTAAAAGAATTAATGATGGAAATTTATTTTAGTTTAACTAGTATTTTATGTTTAACTAGTATTTTATGTTTTTGTATGTTGAAGTTAAATTAATCAAACAAACTCCTAGAGCTGAATTCCTGGGTATAAAATGAAAGTATGTACATTTTAAACTTTGATAGGTTTTACATTATTGCCCTCTAGAAAGTACTCATTTATGTTTTATCATGGATACATGCACACATGGTTATGTTTTATCATGGATACATGCACACATAAAACAACTCTTGACAAGGCATACCAACTCTTGCCTGCCTGTTACAAAAACTTTTATGTATACATTGGGGTTGTGGGGGATTTTAGGTACTATAACCAAAAAAAATCTTGCTTACTATTTGAAAATCTTTTTACTCCTGCACTCAACATTGATTAATTCTACAGGCATTGTTAACAATCTTCTTAATGCAAGCACAGAACTGGGGGCATTGGGAATGCACATGGTAATAAGGAATTCAGTCTTGTTTGGCCAAGGTAATCATCACAAAGCCATGCCTAGTACACAATCACAGTGCAATCTAATAAGAGCAGGAGTCCCCTGCGCGCACAGGCAGTACAAGTTTCTCAGGTGACTGACATGAAATTCTATGAGCTCCCTTCTCTCGGAATTGTTCTCTGGAAGGAGCTTATAAATGTTTATATTTCATTTGACTAGTTTGTGTGTGTTTTGTATTACATAAACCATGGCATCTATTATAAATTAAATCTTAGGAATAACCCCTCCCCCCAAATCTGAAGAAATTAAATTGCAAAATTAATATACTAGTAAGGTATAGCTATGACTAGAAACAGATATGAAAGGCATATTTATTAATACAGAATAGTAAAAATGCCTATATGCCTCCTTTACTCTGTATGTATGGATGGTTAGCATATCTTTTTTTTAAAGTCGTATGTATGTTTCTTGAATCTAGATTGAAATCATATGGCAAGAGGGTTGGAAACACCAGGTACATATGTCAGGGGCTAGAGCACCAGCCTGCCCTGGCACGCTGTCAGGCCAACTGCTGGACTGCTCTTTGGCATAAATACAAGTCTTCCCTGCTGGCAGCTCATGTTCCAGGCTCCTGGCTGGGCCTTGCCATTTGCCCTGCTTCATTTTGGGCAGGTAGGCAGACAGGAAGGCACAACTGGGGATAGTTGAGCAATGAGGGCTGCTGTGACCACAGCTGGTGCCAGCAGCCTGTCACACAATCCACCTTTCCTCCTTCCTCCTCATTGAGCACTACAAATAAAGGTTGCAGGTACTTACCGTATATACATATTCTGGTACAGTTTGTTCATTCAGTTACTAAGTTGTTTTTTATTTTATTTTAAAATTTAATTATCCCTGTGCTAAAGGGAAGACAAGATACTTCTATCACCCATTTCCCCCCAGGACAAGAGTACACATTCTCATAGACACACTTTTAAGACACATCAAAGTATTCCTAAATGTGGGAAAAGAGTAAGTTCAGGATAAAGAGAAAATATTTACTATTAATAGCAATTAACTTATTCTAAAAAGACATTTCTCAGCAAGGCAACGGGGTCTTGAAGGTTGTGCTTAGGGAACAATGAACACACAAACACTCACACATATATATTCTCTACTCTCTTTCTACTTGCTGGGAATGTTTGTTCTAAGTGAACAGACCATTTTAAAATTCAGATGATAACTACAGAAACCCTAATGTGCTCAAAATAAACAGATTCTGGTCATTTGCTTCTTTAAGAGATGTTTCACCCTGACTTTTCTTCTCCTTCTAACCTAATCTGGATTCCCAACTGAGAGCCAGTGACCTGATCTGCATAAGAGTGAGTTCAGAATATCCCTGATCCAGTCTTGCTGGGACTGCAGAACCCCAAACTGTTCTCCTCCAGAGGTGCTCCTGTAACTAGCTCTAGCACCCCAGAAGCATCTTTACCTCTGTCAAACAGTAATCTACAAAGTTTAATTTTATTTACATCTTCAAAGTCAAAGAGGGTAAAATGCTATCTAGAGAAAGGAAAAGTGCTTGCTTTAAGTCTTAGTTTTCTGTTTTTGTTCCTATCTCAGTCCCAATTATCTTGGTTCTCTAGACAGGTTAAAGGCTCACATGGGACTGTGATCTTTCTACATTATCTCAAAGTTTTTATTCTTGTCCTCAAAACAGGTGCCCACTCTGCTCAGTTTTTATATTGAATGGTTAGCAAAGTAAAACATTCCAATTCCCAACCTAAGAAAGATCAAAGCTCTAAACTAGAAATTTATTGTCTTTCCCAAACTGACATTATTCAATGATCAGAATAAAATACATACATAAAATTCTGGCCAATCTGCATACCCCGTTCTTCCACACACATACAAAAAGCTAACTATTTTTAACCTGTGACATGCATTTGTCTTAGTTTTAATATAACCATATATTCAAGGTCTTTATCACTGAAGGTACATGAAGGTTGTGCATTTAATCTTTGGCATGGTTGTAGGAGATATGATTAAAATAGAGAATAGATAAAAATAAGCATGTAGCAGCATGGTGCCGAATCATCAGAACTCCACATCTTATCAACAAATAGAAGTCATTCTTCTTTATTTCTTGAGCAAAGAAGTTTCATATAAGATAAATAGCTTTCAGTCAGTATAGCCTAACATGCAATATGCATCTTTTTGATATGTATATTCTAATAGTACTTTTGACCGTAAGATTAAAAGAAGAAAAATCCCTGTGCTGTGTGTTTACAACCAACACGACTATAGTTGAATCTGCATTTTTTTTTCATTTTTCATCTCCTAGAATTGGGCTCAGTGTATGTATGTTTGTACATTACTTGCTGTTACTAAATGATCAATTTCTAGTGACCTTCAAGCACCATTTTTCTAAAGTTTTACAAGGGAAATAATTTGGAGGAGTTGTACTTTTTATAGCAAACATTGCATTTCACATCATGCTTTGGAGATATTGTGTTTTGTTTTCAGAGATCAGCATATGTGTTCCTAATATCTGGATTTAGAAGGTGGATTCTAGATACATGACCTTGAGAAAGACACCTGCTCTAGTTTTACTCTCTTCATATTACAAAGGAAGAATTTGTGTTAGATAAATCATTATATATTTTTGTTGTTAACAGAATATAGATGGGTGATAAGGGAGTTGGAATGAAAAGTTGGAAGTGGACATTGTAAGTGGCCCAAGCCTTTGGTGCTGGGCTGATCTTCCCTCTGTGGGTCCTTGCTGAAAACTGCTTCACAGCGAAAGCTGCTTATTGGGGCTCAAAGGCTCCTTCTATTCACAAATCCTGTTGCAGTGCAACCATACAGTTCCCACCTTTCAGGGAGTCAGGCTGTTATAAGGTTTCCATTCTCATTTAAATACTAGCTTCCACTTTTTGAGATAGAAAACTCAACTTAAGCTGCTGAGGAAATTGGAGAGTAGTAGTAATTTTAAGTTTTTAAATGTTCATTGTTTTCATATTTATCAATTTGCCTGTGTGGAAGGGAAAATGTGGGTTTTTATAGCATACAGCCTTTGATTGAAACCCCAGCTCTGCTGCTTATCTATTTGGCCTTTTGGAAGTTCATTTCTGAAATATTTTCTTATCTGCAAAATTGGCAAAATACCTAGATGGTTGACATTGCGGAAGAAAAGAAATTTTATACAAGTGTTAAAAAAAAATACTCTCCTCTCCTTTCTTCTACTTCAATGTCAAATTAGTATGAAGAGTATTGACAGTGATACTACACATTATCAATTACAAAAAATCTACAAAATCTATTTCTTAACCTAACATTGTTTACAGAGGAGACATATTTTAAAATGACAAGGTATGACAAAAAACTGCCTCATGTACATGAAAGATACCGCTACATCAATTTATGCTGATCAGTTCTGCTTGGGCTTGGACTGTTGAGTACGTTGGCTACTTAAGTTTGATCTTTGTCTGCCTCTATGACCCTATCCCTTCTCTTTGCATCTCCTAGCTTCCACAACTTCAAAGAATGCTCTTAAACACATAGGCCTAAGAGTGAAATCAATTCTGCAGGTTTCAAATTAGTCATACATATGAAAGCTTTTAAAAAGGATAAAGATCTATGCAAACTCAAGACAACAAGTAAAAAACCCCCAAAAACTAAAGATACGATTTCTTAAAAAATGAATTCTTTTCAGATAACAGGCCAGTATAGATAACTATGTGCTGTGCAAATATGCCCATTTGGGGAGATATAAGAGAGAGAATAAAGGGAAGCCACGAAGGACAGCCAGAAGGCCTGGGTCCTAAGTGCACCTTTCCTCCTTCCTCTGGGCTGTTCTTCGTAGTTCTTTGTAGTGCAGCAGAGCATCACAAACACTGGTCCTCGTTTCCAATTTACTAGGTATGTGAGCTTGGACAGGTTACTTACCTTCTCAATTTCTCATTATAAAATGGGGGTAGTATTATCTAGTTCACAGAATAATGAAGAGCATTGAAGAAGGCAATAAATATGAAGAACTTGGCTCAAAATTGTACTCAGAACATGTTTAAAAAGTAATTAATGCTTATTATTATTATTACTTTTGCAAGAGGAGATTGACTCAGTATTTCCCAAAGTGTGGTATGCGTACCCCCAGGGGTACGGGAAGAGTTTGGTGGGAGTATGCGTTGCACCGGAGTTTGGTGGGGATATGTACTGCACCGTGCTTAGCTGCGCCTAATTCTATGTTCTCATGAGTATGAGGGTTACTCAGCATTAATGAAAATTATAGAAGGGCTACACATATGTCAAAAGTTTGGGAAACACTGGATTAGATGATCTAAGTTATTTTTAATCTTTAAAATTAGATACTTCTTTCCTTTTTTTCTAACAAAATATCCCTTACAGAGCTTGGTATGTTCTGAATTCAGGGTTCTGGGTGCCTGACAAGATTTAGTAGAAGAGTGTTCAGACTAAGTAATTGTAAAAGCAAAAACTAACCTATCTCTACAAACCCAGTTGGTGTAGCCAGTATTCTGCCTCAAGTAAATCTATATATATCCCTCATCTTCAGTTTATACTCACAGACACCCAGTGCCATCTCAGATAATAACATTGAGTGCTGAATATTTTTGCAAGCTATTTTAACATCTCAAAAGAACAGTATAAGCACATATAAGATGCTACTATAGGGTAATAAAACAAATCTCCCTGTGTAGCATGAAGGTTTATTAGCTTGGAGCCAAGCTCTGCGCTGTTCTCCAGGAGCCACATATGACATTTCTCACTAATGGCTCATGCTGCCACTAAATGTCTGCCTCTACACTGAGTGGCCAGATTATTAGGATCTCTGAACACATAATAATCTGGCCACTTAGAGGCCCAGTGCATGAATTCGTGCATGGGTTTGGTTCAGCCTGCCTGGCCAGCGGGAGGGGACATGGGTTGTTGGCCAGCCTGCCTGCTGGTCAAACTCCTGGTTGAGGGAACAATTTGCATATTATCCTTTTTATTATATAGGATATATACTGAGTGGCCAGATTATTATACATTCAGAAATCATAATAATCTGGCCACTCAGTGTATCTGTTCCAGTCTTTGGGAATGCAGACATGCATTTGCATTTAAATTAATAACTCTGCAGAATCTAAACGAAGGACACAGAAAAGACCTTTCATTTTCTGAGTCCAAAAGGAAGAGAAAAAAAAGACCTCTTTCTAATTATATATTTGATAAGAGTTGTTGTTTACAAATGTATAAGAATATACTTATTTTAGGGGGAAAATGCTTTACATGGTTCTCAGCAAATTAAATTGGAACTTTGTTTTTAATGATTTTACTATTTACATTAAACTGTGGTTATCAGCCAGAGAGAAAAATAGGTGTGCAAACTTACTTTCTTCATCAAGGAGATTTTCAGCAGCTGATAGTAACCTCTTCCTGTCTTCAGGGTTTTTAATGTTTAATTCAATGAGATGATTCTCTTTTATATCCTTTAAATCTTCTAGGGTCTCATAACCATTGAGCAAAAGTGTTGATGAGTATTCCTGAAAAAAAAAATGTATAATATGAGCTAGTTGTATTCAAATACTTTTAGTTCTCTGTAGACTTATAGAAAGTATAGAAATGCTTATGGAAGCCAAAGGTGCCAATAAAACTTTTGCTTAACTTTATTTTACTTTTATTAGTTTTTACATATAAACTGTAGGGCATTGAAAAGAGTAAGAGATATAATTCTGACCTTCTGGAAGGACAAATAGAGAAGAAATAATTACCTTAAGCATACAATGCTAAATAATGGATCAATTAAATAGCTAGATCATTCATCCTACTTGCCGCTTTTTCACTTCTCAAATTGCTAAATTGATAAAACTAGAGTGCCTTAAGTTTATAAATAAAGTGCTTTTAATAGAGTATAATATAGTAATATTTTTGAATCTACATCTCTTATTTGCTTGATTGCAAAAACAGCTACTCTCATTAATTTCTTGGGGTAGGGTAAAAAATAAATTTGAAACAGATGCAATTTAAAAGTGTACTGAGGACCTAGCTGATTTGCTCAATGGATAGAGTGTCAGCCTGCCAACTGAAGGGTCCCAGGTTCTGTTCTAGTGGGGGGTTGTGGGGGAAGGAGGCCCAAATTTTAGGCTTGATCCCCAGTGGAGGGCTTGCAGGAAGCAGCTGATCAATGATTCTCTCTCATCATTGATGTTTCTGTCTCTCCCTTTCCCTTCCTCTCTGAAATCAATAAAAACATTTTTTAAAGTGGTCTTAGGATATTGGTTATAAATCAAAGGAATCCAAGGCTTTCTATTTAATTAAAAGTTTTATTAAGCTTTACAAAAGTACTGTGGTTGGAAAAACGTATTGTTTCCTTTTCTCAGCACATATATCTTGTCCATCATTTGCATTAATATATACTAATTAAAATTCCTGGGCTTTGCCCTAACTGGTTTGGCTCAGTGGATAGAGTGTCAGCCTGTGGACTGAAGGGTCCCAGGTTCGAATCTGGTCAAAGGCATGTACCTTGGTTTCGGGCACATCCCCAGTGGGGAGTATGCAGGGGGCAGCTGATCATTATTTCTAACTCTCTATCCCTCTCTGTTCCTCTGCAAAAAATCAATAAAATATATTAAACAAAAATAAAAATAATTTTACTGGGCTTTTGATTTCAAAGTCTGTATTTTATTTATGTAATCTTTATTCTATCCAATAGCATAAAAATTCAGTGAAGTTTAATGCTTTTCAACTTTCTCAAAAATTCCTCCCATATTATTTTATTATTATTTCAAAATCCTTACTTTAGTTATTAAAATTGAGTAAGAGGAAGTATAAAAGTTTTAAGTAATCAGGAAGAGCTTATTAGCAGCCCTTTAATGTTAAAAACAAACAAAAAAGAAAACCCCAGTAGTAATTCTTTTAAAAATATCGTAGAAGAAACATTGAATTAGGACAGAGAAAACTGAGTTCCCATTCTGATGTAACCATCTAACTGAGGGCTCATGACTAAGTTATTTCACTTCCTTAGACTTTGGTTTTCTCATAGGTCATTAAACACACACACACACACACACACACACACACACACAACACAAAAACAAATAGGGAAGCAGGATTCAAACTTGTACTTCTTCCAAGGAGTACCCAATTTGGGGGCACCAGTAGTAATGTAGGAAGACCTAGGCAGTGTGTCTACAAACAAGATTGTAACTAGATAATTCAGGACAAACAATTAAGGGAAGTTTAGCTATTGCCTTAATGAATTTCAAAAAATATAACATAGTACTACCAGATTAACTTTTAAAATGGATAGCAAAACAATTGAGTGAGGCTAGGTATGTATTTAACAAGGTAGATACTTTGCAAATATATGAGAAAATAATTTGATTATAAATATAGACAACAAGGTTTTGTGGGTTTTTTTTAACGCAATTATTATGCAGGTTTAATATCACTATTTCCTAACAAATTAGTTTTAAAACAGTTATATTTACTTATTTTCCTTTGACTTGCTTTTGATCTCTGCTCTATAGAAAATATAATTTTCATTTTTTTCTTTCAAGTTTCTGGTACCATTGTAATTAGCTAGTTAACATTAGGAAAGAAGCAAAAGGGAGGACAGACTTTATAGACCTGTTAATCACACTCCCAGGAAACCACTGGCCCACTTCCTTGCAGCTTACTGGGGGAAGGAATTGGACAAAGGAGACGTTGTGTGCATGCACAGTGAATTGGGGTGTCATAGGGAAAGTGGCAGTCAGTCAAGCCTGGGGAACCATGAATCGACTAGAGTAGGGCAGGGCCATCGCAAACCTGCAAAAATTTGGGAATACATAATCCCCTAATCAAAAGAAGTTCACATTCTCTCTGGGCCCTTATGTTCCTGCTTCCTTGCATTAACCTGTGTTTCCTACATAGCCATATGGCCATGTGGACCCCACATTTAAAGGGTACAGATGAACTATATCTGGTAATACAAACTAAGCTAGCCTGATGCTGGATTACACTGTGTCTCAATCTAGAATGGAAATTTGGGATACTGGCTTTGATTTTAGCCCTGCTTGGAAACTCAGGAGTTTAATTTATCAGAAATAAAGCTTTCTACAATACTACATCCTCCCCTGCAAGTCTCAAAGAATTGTTTTTCTTGGGATATGATAGAAAACCAATTCCCACTAGCAACCTGTAGAGATGTGGAGATCTTTATATTGATAACATCTGGATTTTTATTTTCACTGTTCATACTTTCTTTATGATTCTCATTTACATGTTTCCTCTGGGTCATTTATTCTCCTACATATTTTTTTTCCACTACTCTTTCTCAAGATTAATCTCTATAGTCATTGATGAGTAGCAATAGAGTTTAGTCCAAAGGATATTATATTAAGAACCATTCTTGCATAATAAAAGTGATAAAGGAGAAATAAGAACTGTTCTTGAAAAACAAATTTTCCTTTGCTGTAAGTCATGTATTTTTAAACAATTCTATGCAACACTGATCTAATCTCTTTAATTTTTCTGTCTATATGCCACAAGAATCCAATAGACCACATGTTTGCTAACCTGAAGGTGAATCCTCTCTAAGAATTCCTGCAGGTTCTTGGATTTTTCTCTTCCACTCCTCCGGTGTGTTTTTATTTTCCTGGGGGCTGATTCCTCTTCTGAGATGACATCCACATAAATAAATTTAAAGTTTCCCACTTTATTGTTTAACATTCCTGTCCACATCCCCATTGGTGTTTTGCAGATTATGTCTATGATGTCTCCTTTCTAAGGACAAAGAAATATGCAAATCAAATTTCAGAGAACTCTGGTGCTATTGTAGAAAGAATGGAATCATAGAAAAAAACTTAAACAAAATATGGGAAACAATAAAAATACTAGAGGAATCCAGAGCAGCAAAATCTCAGACGTATGCTGAAGCAATTTCTTCACCGATACCAGCTCCTAGAACAAAAGAAACTAAAGAGAAAGTAAACAAATGGGACTACATCAAAACAAAAAAGCTTTTGCATAGCAAAAAAAATCACCAACAAAACAACAAGAAAGCCCACAGTATGAGAGAACATATTTGCCAATATTATCTCCGATAAGGGTTTAATCTCCAACATTTACAGGTCAAACAACCCAATCAAAAAATGAGCAATGGACCTATTGATAAATAGATACTTTTTGAAAGAAGACATAGGGCCGGGACCAGTTTGGCTCAGTGGATAGAGCATCGGCCTGCAGACTGAAAGGTCCTAGGTTAGATTCCGGGCAGGGGCATGTACCTTGGTTGAGGGCACATCCCCAGTGGGGGGGTGTGCAGGAGGCAGCTGATCAATGATTCTCTCTCATCAATGTTTCTAACTTTCATCCCTCTTTCTTCCTGTCTGTTAAAAATCAATAAAATATATATTAAAAAAAGGAAGAAGACATAGAAAGGCTAAGAAACATATGAAAACATGCTCAAAGTCACTAATCATCCAGAGATGCAAATCAAAATAACAATGAGGTGGCATTTCACACCTGTCAGAATGTCTATCATCAACAAATCAACAAACAAGTGCTGGCAAGGATGCAGAGAAAAAGGAACCCTCATGCACTGCTGGTGGGAATGCAGACTGGTGCAGCCACTGTGGAGAACAGTATGGAATTTTCTCAAAAAACTAAAAGTGGAACTCCCATTTGACCTAGTGATCCCACTTCTAGGAATATATACCAAGAAAACAGAAACACCAATCAGAAGGATATATGCACCTCTATGTTTATAGCAACACAATTTACCATAGCTAATATTTGGAAACAGCCTAAGTGCCCATCAGCAGATGTACCTATGGTACATCTACATAATGGAATACTACACTGCTATAAAAAAGAAGAAATTCATATCATTTGCAAGAGCATGGATGGACCTAGAGAACATTATGATAAGCAAAAGATAAATATCACATGATTATACTCATTTGTGAAATATAATGAACAAAATAAACTAATGAAAAAAAAAAAAAACAGATTCAGAGACAGAGAAGCATTGATCAGACAGTCACACCTCAGAGGAAAGGTAGGAAAAAGTGGGGTAAGGGGAAGAGATCAACCAAAGGACTTGTATCCATGCATATAAGCCTAATCAATGGACACAGACAACAGGGGGTGAGGGCATGAGTGGGGGTAGGGTGAGGGAACAATGGGGCAATAAGACACATATGTATGTCCTTAATCAATAAAGAAAAAAATTATAAAAAAGAAAATAGAATAACTAGGGCATTATGCTAAGATGGTTCCAAGATAACAAATAAATATGAGGAAATTTATTTTAAACATTTGAGGAATCCCAGCTGGTGTGGCTCAGTGGTTGAGCATCAACCTATGAACCAGCAGGTCATAGTCAGATTCACAGTCAGGGCACATGCTCAGGTTTTGGGCTCGATTCCCAGTGTGGGGCATTCAGGAGGCAGCTGATCAATGATTCTCTCTCATATTTGATGTTTATATCTCTTTTCCTTCCTCTCTAAAATTAATAAAAATATATCTTTAAAAAAGTTTAAGGAAACTATTAACTATATGAAGTAAACAATGTGTTGAAGAAAATATCCTACATGCATTTGATGACATGTTTTTGTGTTTGGTATTATATCAATTTGTCAAATTTTATTTGTAGAGCATAATATAATTTGCAAAACAATTTTGCACAAATGAAGCAATTTTATGCCCACAACACACCTCTTATGTATATATACAAGGTGTCATTGTTTCTATAAATATTACAGAAAAATAAACACAAACAACAAACATTAAATAACTTCCCAAGACCTTATAGGAAATTAATGGCAGAACCAGAACTCAAGACTAAGTTGTCCGAACTAAAAAGTGATGGTCTTTTCACTCATCCTGTCAAAGCACTATATATGTAGCAAAGCTTAAGCTGCCATTCTTGAGGGGCTCCCATATTAGGGAAAGGGAAAAAGAAATCTGTGATTCAGTTTGTGCCTCTAGTTCACCTAAAATACTCATCCACAGTACAAAATAAGCACACCTAAATTACTGCATTCATCTGACATAATGAGAGTGTTCAGAACTTTGTACAAATAAAATACATAATAAAGATATGTATGTACTGAGGATAAATTGTTACTTACTTATTCTAGAGATGATAATTCTTAGAGTAAGCTCCCCAACAAAGTTTGGATTGAAGTATCAATGAAGCACATTGGGATAGACAAAGAAATTGGTCTTTTTCTTTATTTGCATATGATACTATCTGGTTATATGCTGCCAGTTATTGGCAAGAGCAGAAAACCCCACAGGAGTAATTATTTGTAAAGAAAATGGGTACCTATGCAAATACAGTGCCTGCATTTTAGAGAAGAGTTACTCCCTTGAGACCTAACTTTCTTCCCCAGAGAAGACATTATCCTTTCTGATAGTTTGGACATATTAGGGGTCTACCCCTAAATAAACAAAGCATTAGGACAATGGTAAGATATGTACACATATAATACTTTAATAAAACAAATGAGAGAAAAAACAAACACACACAAAAAAACCCAAAGCATTAACGTGGCTACTAAGAATATTTTTTCTGGCTGCTCTGTGAATGTATCTTCTAACATCTAAAACACAGATTTTATTTGTGAAGTAGAATTCAATATGATTAAAAGACCTGAGCTTTCTGATTTGTAACAGTCTGCCTGTCTGACACTATTAGCTTTCATCTAGCTCTTTCTTGCCTTTCACTATAAGGGCATCAAATCGTAGGCTCGATGAGATCAGCTAATCAGTCCCAGAAAAATCCCCAGAAGCTCTGAAGGGAATTTCTAAGCATGGTAGCCCTCTGCCATATACTTCCTAGTATATTTAAAACTTGTAAAAATTGTGCATTCCAGGAAAGGTCACCAAGCAAAGACTCAATGTCATTTTGGATAAGACCCTTTTTGGAAACATCAGTATTCGATTTTCAGTGGTAACTGGGATTCTTATTGTGTCTTACAAGTCCTCAGCAAGCATCACCTTGGGCAGTACCAGAGGTAGCGCACTGTCACAACACTGTGGGAAAGGTGAACAGCTATCCTGAATCAAAATGTGTTCAGTTTACTCCCTTCTGCTACCCACTTTTCCTCAAGACAGGAACTAAGAAATGACTAAGAGGTCAATTGCAGTGAATAATGTTTTCTTCATTTCCAACTGAGCTTGCTCAGAGTTGATACCACAGAATGGACAAAGAGAAGAGTTGTTTGCTTTGAACATTAAATGATAATATCAATACTTCATAACTTATAAATATTGGTTAACATCGGCTTGGTGTTGACAGCATAAAAATTCATAAATTCTGTCCTTTTAGCTATATAGCACTTTGGTTTACTAAAAGGAATAATTTGACATCCACAAAATATTTTAGCACTAAACCTTCTTCTATTTGTGCTGTTGTAACCAGCTCCTCCCCTTAAGTATAAGCAGGATAATGAAAATGATGGATTTCTCCCCTGTGATTATGTTGTATTACATGACAGAAGAGACTATGCAGATGTAATTAATGTCCCAGACTAGTTAATTTTGTAATTATCTGGGCGTTTCTGACTTAATTGGGTAGAAGCTCTTAAAAATAGAGATATTTGAAGCCTGAATGTTTCTCTTGCAGAACTTGTAATAGAGAGGGCTGTGGCCGGCCGCCTCCAGGAGCTGAGGATGATCCAGGTGCTTTCCAGGATGAGAACACGAGACTCACTCCTACAGCCACAAGTAACTGAACTCTGCCCACGGCCAATGAGCTTGGAAGTTGACTCGAGCTTAGGCAAGATCACATTTCCAGGTGGCTCCTGATTTCAGCCCAGTGAGACCTTCAGTAGATGAACCATGCCCAAATGATGACCTATTGAACTATGAGATAATAATACATCTGTGTTGTTTGAGGCCCCAAGGTTTGTGGTAATCTGTTACACAGTAACAGAAAATGCATACAGAGAATAAGAGTAAGAAGAGGGAATTCAGGGTGGAATATCATTGGTAGGAAGCTTTTTGGTTACTCAGAGTAACCAATTTAAGCACTGAGTGAAGTCAAGTCTGGTTCCCAAGGCCCTTGCTCTGCTGGAATTTTGCCTAATATCTTCACCTTTTCTCCTTCTCCTTCGCATTATTATTTTCACTTCAGGAATAATCAGGCAGAGCTGGGCACCTGCTTTCAGGAAAATGTACACAATCCCTTCTCTGGTAGGCTTTGATTATGGATTTTCTTCATAACAGCAGTTTATGCTAATAGCTTCAACAGACTGACTCCTACTCTGCCTGCTGTGTAAGGTTTAAATTCTTGCCACAGCAAGCTGGTCCCCAGTTCTACTGTTGGGAAGAACAGACTCACATCTCCTCCCCCCAGTTCTCGCTGCTTGCCCTTGAGAAACAGATCATACAACCAGCACTGGACACACCACACAGAATGCAGATGTGCATGCACACACCTTGATTTTGAGGGAGTCCGTGTCATAGGGGCTTGGCGTGAAGTCGGTGTGCACTCTGGCACGGCCACAGAATGGTCCAGAGTAGGGGCTCTCATCTTCGAGTCGAAAGCTGTCCCGGTTACTTGTGCCATCTGAACAGCTTGTTATTCCACCTAAAGAAGGAAAAGCAGAGGTGAACAGTTCTCATGGGAGGTTTATAACAATCTGAACCATCACCTGGAACAACTAAGCATGGACAATGCTGAAACATCGGATGCCATCCTCCTGCAGAAGTTCCAAGGACCCATCCTGTTTCTGCCTCCCAGGCATTCTCCATCAGCAACCTCTGTCCTCTGAGCCACTTTGGACCTTTCTCCAGCCATGCCGACCACTTTTTCCTCAACCAGTAACCCAAATACCACCAGACTTTGGTCTCCAATCTGATCCAGTAGTACAGTGTTTTGAGTATGGGTACTTGTTAAAGAAGCAGACAGTGTAAACTTAACTCGCTGTATAAGCCAAACAATGAAGTTTGTACATATGGCTTTCAAAAATGTTCTAAACTGGACTTTTAAAGCTGCTCTAAATCCTTGCTCTTTGGTCTTCTTCCTTTATGACTTTGAATCTCAGGGGATTAAGAGGAAAGTGATTCCGTTTTGCTGTTTGTCTGCGGGAAGGATTGTTTTTCCAGTGGAAGTTGCTCTTGGTGTACCCCTCTCAGTTGTTGCTTCACTTTCTCCTTCAGTGGGCCTTCGGGTGCTCCGTTTAATGACCAACAGCCTCAGTTTCTTGACCATGAATAATCATGATTGTGGAAACAAGGCTAAGATCCTTAGGGATGCTCCATATTGTATGTGAGCTGGAGTATAAGAAGGGTCGTTTCTTCCAATTACAGAAACAAGTTGTATGTAGCAGCTAAATGAGCCATCATCTCCTCACACCTCCCTTCTATGACCACTCTGGGCCCTGGTTTTTCATGGTACATTCTAGTTAATAAAATTCTTCCCACTCTCAGCATCACACTTCAGAATTTTAAAATTGCCAGCAGAAATGAATACTAAAGATATCTGAATTTCACACATGCAAAAATATAGCCTTCAAATGTTTCTGCAGTTGCTTTTTTAACAAGATAACTATTCTACAGCCAATAGGAAAATAGGAATAAAATTCAGGATATTTGAAACATCTGGTCTTTGCTATCTAAATTCAAATAACAGAAGCAGCTGATTTAAAAGGAAATGAAAAATTAACTGAAAAAAACATTTAAAAGCCAATATAAGATTAGAGGGAAATAAAACAGTATAAAATGCCCTGAAATAGCAGCAGTTTCCAAATATTGTAGCGGATATGTGTCTGAACCCTGAGCGATTGATCGTCTTCTTAAAAACATAGCAATGTTTTAAGAAAATCCTTTTGATCATCTGCTGATTCTTTTTGTCACCTAATTGGTGATATTCCTGCTTTTTAATATTTACATATTACTTTACTCTTTACCCGCTAATGCAAGATGGAAACTTAAATGTCAGAATTGATGTAAATGCCCTGCTTTATCCAGAATTTTTTAAGGAAAATAATGGAAAGGAAGGAAAAAATGAGAGAAGGTAGGAGAAGAGAGGAGGGGGGAGGAGGAAGAGACATGAGAGAGATGAGAGAAAGAGAGAGAGAGAGAGCGCGAGAGAGAGAGCGAGAGCGCACAAGGGGGCGGGGAGGAAAGAAGGAAAGAAGAGATAGAGAACATGATTTTATTTATTTGAAAACTGTAAGTCTTTTTAAAAATACTGACTCAATATAACACTAGTTCTCCCCGGCATACGTTTTTATTTTAGGGATGCAGATTTAATTAGTCAACATGATCTTCTGAGGCATATCCCCAAGGATACTTCTAACAACAACATTACACGTTTCAAAATATTGCATAATTCTATCTATTAATAATAGATTAAGTACCATTTTAAACAACAGCAACACTTTAAATTCAACACATTTTACATTTTTCACTATTTATCTTATCAGGTAGCTGGAACCTTGTTGCTAATTTTAAATTGCATGTGAGAAACCAGTCCCAGAGAAGCAAGTTAGTTAACGTAACCCAGACCTGAACTTAACCCAGAACTTGTTTCTGATTCTATAGCCTTACTCGATGAGCTCTGCCCACTGTAGAGACTGTCCATGGAATCACTGGCTTTGAGGGAGAGCTTCTCTGTTTGGGTCCCAATAATGGGGTCACTGTTCCGACACGGGAGGGCATCCTCTCCATCGTCTTCATCCTCCAGAAAAACATAACAGAGGTTAGGTTAGATCATTGTTTTCCCTGGAGATACTCACTGTGCACATTGATTTAACAAACAAGATATGGTTTAACAATATAGCACTTAGGAAAACATCAACATAAAATATGAGTGTCATTAATCCTAATTTCAATTCCTAGCAAAGAAATGTTATAGATAGAACATTCCACATAATGGAATTCAACTAAAATTATAATAGTGCAATTTGTAAATTAGGATGAATATTGTATCAAGATTATTTAACCAGAAATTTTAGGTTATTGATATCTATGCTCTTCTGTTAAAGTACTTTTCTTTCTTTATGTAAGTGCTCTTTCTCACCTATTTACCACTATTACTAATCCTTTGAGATCTAACATTAAAAGTTTAAACTCTCCACAGTTATTTCATGTCAGTTATTTGCACCCCATGAGATCACTAGATATGAATAAAACATGTACACTTTGCAATTTTAAAGCAAAGCTTTACAAATCTCAGACCATGCTTGACACCTAGTCAAGTGAAAAGCAAATCTTGCATGAATTTAGAAAGACAGACAATTTCAAAATAAATTACATATGCTTGAAAACATCTAAAATGTTTTCCATATTTAGGTAGTTTGGACAAAACCTATAAATTTTTAATATTCATCAAAATGTAATTTAATAATCCTACTTTTTGATCATTTCTAAACATTAATAAAACTTCAGAATATGCATTTGATTTACACTAAATTTGATTCTCTGTTTTTATCTATTAATTTATTCTTCTGTTTAGACCACATGTGTCAAACACAAGGCCTGGCGGGACGGATTTGGCCCTCGGGCCTTGTGTTTGTTTAGACATTCAACCCACATTTGTAGAACAGTTTCTAAGTACCTGGCACTGTTTTGGGAATTAGGGATACAGTGGTGAAAAGGTAACAGAGTCATTGCTCTAATGAGGTACATTTAGTGTCAGAGGGTAAGCATGTGTTTGTGTGTGTGTGTGTGTGTGTGTGTGTGTACACTGTTTGGGGAGCCATGTGTAAACATAATAAGCAAGAAAATATCAGAGAATAAGTGCTATAAAAGGACATAAAACTGGTGATGCTAGGAGATTAGCTACTGGATTAGGGTTGGGGGAAGTTCAGTTAATTTAGGAGAAGCCTCCAGAGGTCTCCTTCATAAGGTAATATATGCTCTGAATTGTTGACCTGAATGATGGCAAGCTATAACTTATGTGAATATTTGGAGACAGTTTTTCAAGTAAAAGGAACAGTGAGATCTAAATAAATATACTCCTTGTGCACTGGGCCTCTAGTTTGTCAATAAAAAGAAATGAAGTACTGTTTATTACAACATAAAAGGCACATATTTCTCTCATACTACATGTGTGATCTTTTTGAACCTCAGTTTTCTGTATTAAAATGGGAGTAATAACACTTTCTTCCACAGAACTTCTGAGTACAATTATTGAGGATAAATAGATGTTGAAGTCCTTCATAAAGCACAAGTATCTCCATTTCTAGAAGTACATGCTAATTATTTTTTAAAAAGTTTAATAGAAAAAGACAAGGGATTAACAGGGTACTCTTACCTGTTCCTCAGAAAGGGCTTTGATGTACTTTTTACCCACTTTTTTCTTCATTGTCCAGGAAATGGCTCTCATTCTTTTGCCTAAACTTCCTCCATGATTTGAATTTCTATTTTTTTCTCCACTTTCATTTATAGGCTCCCCCTCATACACCTAGTTAAAATTATTTGCAAAAGACAAAGTAATAAAGCACTAAAAAGCATTTTTTTTTCTGAGCATCGCTATATAATACAACATAATACAACAGTATAATTAATACATTTGATAATGTCATATATATTACATTATACAAAGTGTATATGAAATAGAATATATTCACTACCTCACCTTTAGCTACTTCTCATGCTTCCCTTGTTCACTATAGCAGTGTTTCTCAAAATGGGGTCCCAAGACCAGCAACTACAATATCACTTGGGGACAATTTGTATTTTAACAAATTCTTCTTTTTTTTTTTTTTTTTTTTTTTTTTTTTTTTAATTAATTTATTTATTTATTTTTACATATTTTAATGATTTTTTTTTGCCCCCTCCCTCCCTCCCCCATATCCCCTCCCTCCCCATAGTTTTATGTCCATTGGTTGTACTTATATGCATGTATACAAGTCCTTCGGTTGATCTGTTATCTCCCCCAGATCCTCCTCCCCTCCCCGCTGTAATTTGACAATCTGCTTGTTGCTTTACTGTCTCTATATCTATCTTTTGGTTCATCAGTTTATAATGCTCTTTATTATCCACAAATGAGTGAGGTCATGTGGTGTTTCTCTTTCATTGATTGGCTTATTTCACTCAGCATGATGTTCTCCAATTCCATCCAGGTTGCTGCAAATGATGAGAATTCCTTCTTCTTTATGGCAGCATAGTATTCCATTGTGTAGATGTACCATAGTTTTTGGATCCAATCATCTGCTGACGGGCACCTAGGCTGTTTCCAAATTCTGGCTATTGTAGATTGTGCTGCTATGAACATAGGGGTGCATATATCCTTTCTGATTGGTGTTTCTAGTTTCTTGGGATATATTCCTAGGAGTGGGATTACTGGATCAAATGGGAGTTCCATTTTCAGTTTTTTGAGGAAACTCCACACTGTTCTCCACAGTGGTTGCACCAGTCTGCATTCCCACCAGCAGTGCACGAGGGTTCCTTTTTCTCCGCAACCTCGCCAACACTTGTCGTTTGTCGATTTGTTGATGTTGGCCATTCTGACAGGTGTGAGATGGTACCGCATTGTTGTTTTGATTTGCATCTCTCGTATAATTAGTGACTTTGAGCATGTTTTCATGTGCCTTTTGGCCTTCCTTCTGTCTTCTTTTGAAAATATTCTATTTAGGTCCCTTGCCCATTTCTTAATTGGATCATTCATCTTCCTTTTATTTAGTTGTATCAGCTGTCTGTAGATGTTAGAGATTAAACCTTTATCAGTGGTGTTATTTGCAAATATGTTCTCCCACACCGTGGGCTTTCTTGTTGTTTTGTTGATGGTTTCTTTTGCTGTAAAAAAGCTTTTTATTTTGATGTAGTCCCATTTGTTTATTTTCTCTTTAGCTTCCATTGCCCTAGGGGCAGTATCAGTGAAGAAGTTCTTTTGGCATACGTCTGAGATTTTGGTGCCTGAGGATGCTTCTAGTATTTTTATGGTTTCCCGTCTGATGTTTAAGTCCTGTATCCATTTTGAGTTTATTTTTGTGTATGGTGTAAGTTGGTGATCTAGTTTCATTCTTTTGCATGTGTCTACCCAATTTTCCCAACACCATTTATTGAAGAAACTGTCTTGACTCCATTGTATATTCTTTCCTCCTTTGTCAAATATTAATTGAGCATATTGATTTGGGTTGATATCTGGGTTCTCGATTCTATTCCATTGATCTATATGTCTGTTCTTGTGCCAGTACCAGGCTGTTTTGAGAACAGTGGCTTTGTAATACAGTTTGAAGTCTTCAAGTGATTCTGATACATGCTAAAGTCGGAAAGAACTATAATCAGGTGTCACCATACTAGTCTCCTTGCTGCTTCTCTTTATGGTCATATCAAGGTTTGCATTTGCTTTTTCCACTGGCTTCCCTGGTGTCCAAACCTGTATTCCTTCCTTCACCCAGGTTTCTAATCCATGCCGTGTAAAAGAAGGGAAGTTTCTGATTGATCACCTTATTTAAAAGAGCTTGCTCCTGTCCATGCTCACTGCATGCTTATCCTGATTTATTCTTCTTCTAAAGACTTGATAGTGCCTTATAACATTTGTTTGTTTGCTTGATTATTGCCTGAATCTCCCACTATGATGTATGTTTCCATGAGACTAGAGGCTTTATGTGTTTTATTTATTCTGAGTGTTTAAAATACTTTCAGTAACGTAACTGACCCCCAATATACTTTGAATAAGCCAAACTCCTCATGTTGAACTTTGCAGTGATTTTTTTTTTAATCTTAAAGGATGTATTTGGGTTACATGTCCTTAACATCTCAAGTTTGTAAGAAAGGATCTCTGAAGATCATCTAGTCTAGTGATGCCCACCATTTCCAATAGGTGGACAGCTAGTCATTCCTTAAATATAAAAGACCATGAGAAGCATCTCTTTAGTGAACTTGAATATTTTAATATGAAGGTTTAACTATGTAGTTAATATAATTGTTAATCATACTATGTTTTGCTCCACATCTTACCCCAAATTGCCTATGATAAACATGAATAGACAGCCAATTTAAGCTCAGAGCTGTAAAGACAAAGATACTTTGCTTACTTCAAAAAATCCAGAATAAAATATAACTTAGAAATAGTTTAAAATTTTAGAATTAGATGTTTTTTCTCTTAATTTTATCTTCATGTAAAATTACAAATTAAAATAAATAAGAAAGTATATTAATTTATTTATGTTAACTTACCATTGCCTAAACTTCAAAACTACCACTAAGGATTTTTAATGTCAGATTCTTCTACTATTCTGCTCAGAAGCGTTGAAGAAACTACCTAAATATTTTAAAAATTTTAACGTATTTCTATGCTGTTTTCTTTTATAGATTGATCACAATTTTATTTAAACACTTATTTATTTTCTTGTTTTAATTTATCTCCCCCTAGAATCCAGACTTCATGAAGTAAGGATTTTCATATGTTATTGTAACAATATTCTGAATGCCTAACAGAAATCCTGCTATAGAAAAAATATTTGTTAAATGAATGAATGAATACTAGGTTACTGAAAAATGTACAAACTACTCTATCAGGTTCACTAAACTTTCACAAATACTAGGTCACTGTAACTAACTAGTGAACTTGTGTGAGCCTGAGGAACATTTTAGGTTAACTATACAATCATAAGTTTAATTGTATCTATGTATGATTATGGAAAGTTATAGGTTTATACAATACTAGAGTCCTGGTGCATGAAATTCATGCATGAGGGTGTGGGTCCCTCAGCCTATCCTGCACCCTGTCCAATCTGGGACTCCTAGAGGGTTGCCCAACTGCCCTCACACAATCTAGGACTGCTGGCTCCCAACTGCTCACCTGCCTGCCTTCCTGATTGACCCTAACTGCTTCTGCCTGCCAGCCTGGTCACCCCCTAACCACTCTGCTGCCAGCCTGATTGATTTCTAACTGCTCTTCTGCAAAACTGATTGCCCCTAACTGGCCTCCCCTGCTGGCCTGGTCACCCCCAACTGCCCTCCCCTGCCAACCTGGTCACCCTTAACTGCCCTCCCCTACCAGCCTCATCACCCTTAACTGCTCTCCCTTGCTGGTATGGTGCCCCCCGCCCCCCCACTGCCCTTCCCTGCAGGTCCAGTTGTCCCCAACTTCTCTCCCTTGTAGGCCTGTTCACCCCCAACTTTCCTCTCCTGCATGTTTGGTATCCCCTCCCCCAAATACCCTCCCCTGCAAGCTTGATCACCATCAAGTGCCCTCTATTGCAGGCCTGGTCCCTCCCAGCTGCCCTCCCCTGCTAGCTATCTTGTATCCACATGGGGGCAGTCATCTTTGACCACATGGGGGTAGCCATCTTGTGTGTTGGAGTGACAGTCAATTTGTATATTGCTCTTTTATTTGGTAGATTATTTGATAGGATGTCAACTAAAACTAGGGCTTCTTACTATTTCCATATATATATATGGAAATCCTATATAATAAAAGGCCAATATACAAAATTACTGGAAAGCAGGAGCTGTCTCCTCGTGGTCAGTGATCTCCCACAGGGGAGTGCCACTCAGCCAGAGGCCAGATTCATAGCTGGAGAGTGCAGCAGCACTGGTGGGAGCTTCTCCTGCCTCTGTGGCAGTGCTAAGTATGTGGGAACAGTTCTAAGCCCTTAGTCAGACATCCCCCAAGGGCTCCCAGACTGTGAAAGGGTGCAGGCTGGGCAGAGGGTACTCCCTCATTCAAATTTCCATGTGCACAATTTTCATGTACCAGGCCTCTGGTCTATATATATAAAAGGCCAGTGACCAGAATGCCAGAATGACTGGTTGCTATGATGTCCACTGCGGTCTGTGAACCAACCAGATCAGGGGATGGGGCCAGCTGGCCAACCTCCCATGGCCTCTCCCTTATCTGCTGACCCCTATTGGCCCCTCCACCCCATGAAGGGGCAGGGCTGGCTGTCCCACTGAACACAGCCCTTCCCCATGACCAGCCCCGCCCCTAACCAGCCCCCACACATCCGAATCGGGGGTGGGGCCCGCTGGCCTATCACCTGTGGCTTCTTTTCCCAATTGGCTCAGCCCTGATCGAGCTCTGATCGGGACAGGCTGACTGGCCAACCTCCTGCCATTTCCATCTCCTGACAGGCCTGGCCTTGATCTGCTGATTGGGGTCAGGCCAACCTGTGAATGAATTCATGCACTGGACCTCTAATATATATACAATGTAATAAAAATATATTACATTGTATTATTTACAATTATGTAAGTGTTGATAGAAAATATAGCTGTATACAAGTTTATCTATAAGCATATATATATATAATTATATAGATGTATAAAAGGGGATATGTATAATATATATGTATAAAAGAATATATGTTATACACACGCATGTATAGAACTAATACAGATTAATGAAGTAATAAAAGATGTCACTTTATTTTTATTTTTTGTCTAGAATATCCATCATTGTAATTAACATAGTTTAAAATAGTATAGATAGATGCATATAAGAACCTGAAAAGTATTTTGAGAAATTATATTCAATAAAAGAATCTAATTCTATATAAAAAAACAAAGAATAAGGATACACTAGTTTAAATGAATAATTAAGTAGTGAATAAAATCTTAAACCTATTGCTTTATAACAAATGTATCACTTGCAGTAACATAGAAAATTTTTCTTAAGCCATTTGAAGTGTTCATGATTTGCAAATGTGTATGGAATGGTCACCTCTGAGACATTTCAGTGCAGATGGCAGAAGTGTGAGATTGTAATTGAGTAGCCATATGTTTTCCTTAACAAATTTACTATTAAGCTATTTAATCATCTCCTAAATTAGAGGAATTAGAACTTAAATAAAATTTAAAATACATATTGTTTTATGGTGGAATTGCTCAGAAAATTTGGGGCTATCTGAGTTACATTGTTATGATTCTCTCCTTAGACTCAGGTTCTGCCTTCCCAATGGTCTCTCGGGCTTTGTAGGTAATTCTTTACTTCCAGCATGGTACTAGGCACTAAACAATTGTTTATTTATTTATCACCAAAAACATGGAAGGCTATAATTTTTAAACATATTTGTGTTTTACTATACAAAAGTGATGTTGGCTTTATAATTTTTGTGTGTTTGCATAATATGCATAAAAACATAATAAGTACCTCGGTGGATTCATCTGGTTTTGATATGGAATTATTCCGAAAACGATCAAAGCTTCCAAAGCTGCTGCTGCGCTAGAATATAGAAAATGAAGGGAAAGGACAGGAAGTTTAGGATTTGTGACTTTCATTGATAAAAGTGCAAAATATATTATGGTTCAATAAGCATCACTTATGCAACTGAAATCTGTATAATGTTATTAACCAATAAATTCAATAAAAAGGAAAGAACTGTCTCTGGAATAAGGACACTGGATGTATGACTATTATTATAATTCTAGTTGCACATTTGATCAATTATCTTCATAGGTTTAACGTTATAGTGGTACATACCTTGAAGAAAATCTGTTTATTTTTTATTTTATAATGTGAATTTTGCTCATAAGAATGGCATGTATTACTAACCCATCAAACAACTAATAAACAATAAAACAAAGAAAACATCTGAATAGTTACAACATTATGCTTCATAAAGAGCATATTAGTCAAAAAGCAAAACGAAAATAAGCATAAATACATTTTCCACTTCTAATTCCTGCTAATTTTAAATTCTCTATTTGATGTCAGAAAGAGAAGGCATACACATAGAACTATACATAAATTGAAAACAGCACTTAGTTATGCATAGCCTAAGGTTTGAAATAAACCTGAATTTTCCCACATTCAACATAGAATTACAATGAGACCTTAAGTCAATTTCATTCACTGGCTGTGAGAAAAAAAAAACCAAAAACTTAGTATGTTAATAAAAGACTTGTTCTCTTGCTACTTTTTGTCCTGAGAAGATAAAATGTTTATTCTTATGTAACTCATTCTAGGCAGGTAATTATAAATAGTTTCTGATATTCTCCTAAACACATTTACAAATATCTTTGGTCATTGAGTAAAAAAATTAAAAAAATAAATAAAAAATAAAAAAATTATATCTTCTCACTCTCTGTTTAATTTTATATATTGTTTAAGAAGGTAGATATTTAATACTATGTCCTTAGATACCCACAAATCCTAAGAACATGTTCTGTCTAAAGAACTCCATCTCATTTCAAGCTTATATTTTCAAAATAAGCTGGTGGTACCAAAACATAATCTGGTGATCAGAAATGTTAATAATGGGAGCCAGTAACCTAGAAAACTGTCCTTTCAGATGCCACAGCCCACTTTAGTTCAAGTGAGCATCAAAGACTTTTAGTCCTTACAAGAACTCTTATACTCATCTCTCCCCAATAGTTATCTTTAAAACACTTTGTTTCCATTTTAAATGAGCTGAAATAAAAAGATCCTGACATGTGGCAAGGGGTTAGCTTGATAGATAACATGATACATACCGTGAGAAAAATGGCTGTGTGAGACATACCTTCTGCTGACTTGCCACCCCTGCTGAACAAGCCCTTTCACTGATGACAGGAGGAGAAGAAAAAGGCTAAAACTGAGAACCACACCAGAAAATAGTGTTCTAATGCAGAGTTTACCAACCTAGAGTGACTTCCCAAAGCAGTAATCACTCCAGCTTGCCTAGTAGGTGTTTCCACCAAGTCATCATTGTCCAGAGATCAGAAAAAGGAATTGATGTAATGTTGTACAGCTTATAAAGTATCTCAACACAGGGAAATCTTTTACTCTCTTATATGCTTGAAACATTCATATGCATTATTGGAGCCTATGCTTAGGGCACATTAGCCTACTACATCCAGCCTGCATCCTGCCTATTAAATATTAATGAGGGTTACAGCATGGTTTCCACCATGTATAATGGGATTATATGGCCCAAGAGGGTACAGAATAGGCTCACTTCAGCATTTCTCTACACTATCTTCTGCCATTAAGTAATCAATAGTCACCACCTTTTAAGATTAATTCCCCCTCATTATATCAATAAAGGGAAGCAGGTTTAGGAGTAGTGGTTTAAGAAAGCTTCAGGACTATTACTTTGGATGTGTCAGTCATCTTATTATAATTCACTCAACAGTTTTAAGTGAGAGGAGTATAATAGCAATCCATGCTAAGATATCCTTAAGAAGCAAATCTATGTATTTAAAATGACATTTAAAAAATTTTATTATTCAATAAATCTAAAAGTTAGTGACTTTCTGAGATGGTTTCCTGATGTATAGGTTATAGTTTATAATGAAAAAGGGCTAATATCTACATTGAGGTATGGACAACGCACAAATTTATCATTTCTATTCCTGTTAAGTTTCAGTCATGTGGAAGCAAGTTGGCTTCACAGATAATAGTCCTTTGTAAATGAGAATGTACTGGAATATTGATAATTTTGCATGGCATAATTGTAATGAATCAGATTTAGCAAATATTATCCTGTGACAGAAGCTCCCATCAAGACAGATCTATCTATCTATCTATCTATCTATCTATCTATCTATCTATCTATATATATATATAAAAGCCTAAGCAATCATTAAGACAAAATGACTAGAATGATTGGAACAACCAGAATGACCCATCAATACGATGCTCACTAACCGCCAGGGGGCAGACGCTCAATGCAAGAGCTTCCCCCAGCCCACAATCACCACAATTGGTCTCTCTCCGCGGCCAGCAGGTCCTGATGGCCTGATTGGAGCCAGGCCACCAGGCTGGGGTGGAGAACTGGGGGTGGGGGGGGGGTAGGGGGATGGGGGGGAATGGTGGTGGTGGCAGCAGATGGCCTATTTCCCAGGAGGGCTGAGGGACAGCTCCTTCCTGGGTCTCTCCCGCTATTCCTCCCCCAGTTAGCAGGCACTGACTGGCCCAGCGCCAACCCATCGTGGTGGTGATTAGCCCCTCCCCCTGGTCAGTAGGCCCCAATTGCCTGATTGGGGCCTGCTAGTCAACCTCCCAGTCCTTCCCCCTGACAGGCAGGTCCCAATTGCTCAATTAGGGGCGGGTCTTGGCCTGGGATGGGGATCTGGGGGTGGGTGGAGGTGGATGCAGACATTGAGAGAAGGAGGGGGGGGAGGAGGGGAAGGGGGGAGGCAGGAAACCTGATAGTCCCAATAGCTGGCCAGGCCTAGGGACACTACCCATGCATGAATTTTGTACACTGGGCCTCTAGTTTTATATATATATACCAACAGAAGAGTAAGAAATAGAAACGCAATTTAGATTTTAGATAGTTCTTTGTTTCTGTTGACATTAGATCATATTTAGTTTTTAAATTGTCTTTATAAATCTATAGTCTTTCATTGTCCAATTAAATATGTTTGTAGGCCTGGCTGGTGTGGCTCAGTTGGTTAAGTGTTGACCTGTGCACCAAAAGGTTATAGATTTGATTCCTGGTCAGGTCACATGCTTGGGTTTCAGGCTCAATCTCCATGCAGTAGGCAGATGATCGATGTTCTCCTCTTGCATCCATTTTTTTTTCTCTTTCTCCCACCTCCCTTCCTCTCGAAAAACCAATAAAAATATTTAAACATATTTGTAAACTGGCAAAATTGCTGTGGAGAGTAATTTGGCAAAACTAGTAAAATTACTTTTGTATTTGCTTCTTGACCCAGCAATTCTGTTTCTTGTCAACTAAACCAGAGATACATTTATATACAAACTGACTTACACATCCACATCCATTATGAAACTTTTATATTATCAAAAGCTATAAAACTCATTGTTCACAAAAAGGGGACTGATTGAATATATTGTGAAACAAAGAAATTGTGTGCTGCTGTAAGAAATTGAAATATATCTATTTATACTGCTATGGAATGATCTTCAAAATACAGAGTAAGTGAAAAAAAAGTTCAGTGAAGAAAATCATATTTAGTATGCTGCAATTTTTCAAAGAGTGGAAATGTATGATTGTGTTTTAATATGGCAAATATGTATTTTTCTTCTTAGAGAAATGGGGCAAGGGGGCTGTAAGAGATCAATCAAAGGACTTGTATGCTTGCATATAATCATAACCAATGGATACAAGACGTGGTGGGGGGGGGGCAGGTGAAGGCATATGCCGGGAGGGAGGGAGGGCAGGATGGGGGGAGGTCAAGAGGGGAAAAAAGGAGACATATGTACTACTATTTGTAATGCTTCAAACAATAAAAAACAGGAAAAAACGATTTAAAAAAAGACAGGAAAGAAAATAGACTTATCTAAATATACCTTGTTTTGTAAATCTAATTTTAAAATAATGTAACTATTTCATATTGTTTATAAATATATTTTATATATTTATAAACAATATGAAATAAAAACCATCCTTAAAAATTCTAAATAAAAATGAAAAATATTATTAGTGTTGCTTAGGACATAGTTGTTTAGAAGTACTAGTATAGTCATATTTAAAGAGAAAATAAAGTGTCGCTTTGTAAACTTGTGTTAGTATAAATGTATGTTATTGAGTGCCTTTAGAAGACTAACTGAGTTCACTTGGTGAAGATTATTTTTTTCATATGGTCTACTTGGTTTCCACAAAAATAGAACTGACCAAGTCACTTAGGTTTTGAACACATGTGTATGTGTGTGTGTGTGTGTGTGTGTGTGTATGTACACAATGCAATAAATAATTAAAATAACTTGGGGAGGAGGTAAGATGGCGGAAGAATAGATGGGCGGATTCTGATCCCTGTCCCGAAGCAGAAAGAGAGAGCAGCTGATGGTGTTGAGCTGTGAGTGTTTATTAGCAAGCTGGGAGACAGCGCACACCAGAAGAAACTGCTGGGGGGCCTCTGACGAGGGTGCCCCTCACAGGGAAACACCCACGCGGGCTACGTCCCTTCCCGAAGCTACCTACTGGCTTGGATGGGGAAACCTCGCCATCCTGAAAGGAAGATTGGATCGTGTCAGAGGTCTGAATATCCACAGCCACAGCCGCAGCGACCACCAAGCAGCTGTGACCCCCAGAATGTGGATCCCAGACAGCGCGAAAACCTGGCCTCACAGGAGTGCCCCACTGCTAGGCGAAAAGGTCAGATTTCACGGGGAGAGGGTGGAGAGTGCTGGCGGAGAAGACAAAAGCATGCATGCACAGAAAGCGCAGAAGCTGGAGGACAAGGGAGGTGATTGCAAGTAGAAGCCCCAGCTGTTGGGCGGGTGTCACCCTTGAAAGTGGACGGGGCTCCTAACAGGGGAGAAATCTAAAGAGC